CCTGTGTAACTGTGGGTCAACTATAGGTTAATTCTGACTCTACAACACATAACACACAAAAATCATATGAAAGACAAAGATTGCACTTAATCAACCTCGCTTGATTAGACAAGGACTTGAGGCATTTGTTGCAGTAGGTCAAAAACTATAGCCTTCAATATGGATTGAAGCTCAACATCAGGAAAGCAAAGATACTCACCACTGGGCCAACTGACATCATCATGATAGATGGCAAAGAGATTGGTATTGTTAACAGCTTCAGCTTGTTTGGCTCTACAATCAACACTCAGCAGCCAGGGAATCAAAAGACTAATTGATTTGGAAAGACTGCTGTCAGGTGTCTCTCCAGAGTACTGAAGAGCAACAATGTCAGTCTGGAGACTAAGGTGCACCTGATCCAGGCCACGGTCTTCACAATTACTTGCTATGCATCAGCAAGCAGGTCAATGACTAAGGATGATAGAAGAATCAATGCCTTTGAGTTGTGATGCTGAAGAAGAGTTTTGACTATATCATGGGCTGCTAAGAGAACAAGCAGGTTTGTCCTAAAAAGGGTGAAACAAGGCTGCTCCTTGGAGGCAAGGATTTCAAAGTTTCATCAGTCATATACTAGGCATGTTGCAAGGAAGGACCAGTCCTTGGAGAGGGACATCATGTTTGGAAGGGTAGAGGAACAGCACAAGAGAAGAAAACCCCAGATAAGATGGATTGATTCAGTGACAGGGAAGTAGAGACATGAAGTTGGCTCAAGATAGAGCAGGGTTCAGAGCTGTTGTACATAGGGTCACTATGTGTCACAAGCCACTCCACTGCACCTAAAACCAAACAACAACAATCATAAGTCAGGACACTGAGTTTCACAAAAGATAATAAAGGGTTCAAGGTCAAACTGCAAGTGAATAGCAGGGCTGTTTTCTAGCTTCAAATCCAGCGTGGTTACTCCTACACAGTGGCTTCTTCTCACCAAGTCATTTAGAAATAATATAGCAAGGGGGGGAAAATAAAGTAGTAACTTCCAAGTACTTTGTTAGATGTTTGTTCCCCAGAGTACTTCTTAGAATGTTGGATGTGGACATTTAACATGTTTCATACTTTCGAGAATGAAACTTCTGAGAGACAGAGGCTTGTCTGATCCTTCCTGGAAGTGCCCATAGCACCACCTAACAAAGATCTGGGGACAGCTGGTGAGGTAGCCACAGTATAGTGGTTATCAGAATGAGCTTTGGCAGTCAGAAAGGATAGGTCTGTATGTAGACTCTGCTATTACTGATTATGTAGCCCTGAACATAATACTTAAACCTTGAGCCTCTGTTTTCTTATCAGAAAAATTGTCATTTATCATAAAAGTACCTACATAACAGAAGTGTGCTATGGGTTGAATTTTGCCCCCGAAATATGTTATATATCTCAACTTCTGATAGTCTGTAGGGAGTTGCACTGTTAATCCACAGGCCATGTCTCTGGAGGTTAGAATCTACCAGCTGTTCCAAGGGAATAAGATGGCCAACCTCCTCTCATGGAATTTACAGACTCAGAAATCCAATAGTCAGCTACGAATCAGTATTGACTTGATGACAATGAATGAGTGAGTGATACTTGTAGTGAGGGGGCTTGGTGGCATAGTGGGTTAAGTCTTGTTGTGTTTCAGTAAACAATTACAGTCCTGGATGTGCTTACTAGTCCATGCAATAAATTTGAAAGATGGCTGGCTTCTTAGCCAACCAGCTGGAAGAGGCATTTGTTTCCTTTTTTTTTTTTTTTTTTTGTAAAAAAAGGAGATGAGGAGGTGATCCAACAGAACTCAGAAATTATCAAACAATACCATTAATATCACTCACAAGTAAAGTCTTGCTGAAGGTTACACAAAAATGGCTAAAGCAGTATATTGACAGGGAACTGCCTAAGCTGTGAGAAAACAGATTCCTGTTTGTTAAAGCCACCCATTTGTATTTCTGTTATAGCCGCACTTAATAACTGAGACAGAGTCTGAAGTATATTAAATGAGTATACGCTTATGAGACTTAAATGTTCATATCCATGTGTCCAGGGAACTATAATTCCCAAAGTGTTGTTTCACCAACTCGAGTTCTCGCCGATGCAGGGGACTTTAAATATATACAGTTGGCCTTCTGGGTCCTCAGAAAGAACAATTGCAGTGTGCCAAATTTTTGAAAGAGTTTCATCATGATTCTAGATGATCATCACTGAGGTAAGTAGATGCTCAGTAAATATTTGATTAATTGAATAAAAGCAGAAATTTTGTAGTAGAGAGCTGCAAAAATTTGCCCACGATCAACCAGCAAGATGACAGTACAAATCCAGAATTTTTTACAAGAATGTAGTGTGCTTGCCCCTTCCTGGTAACCCCACTCTATCACAGAAGTTCAATCTCATGTGGATTTCCCCTCAAGTGTCTCATCACCACCACCTAACTAGTTTCTCTCCTTGAGTGGGCTGTTTCTAATTTCAGTAAACTTGAAAGGCACTAGTTATACAGAAAGCATTTTATCTGACCTTCCACACGCAAATTCTTTCCATTGGGACTTCTCAGTGTCCAACTCCACCCCAGCCCACATGGCCATAAACACTCGTGTGTCTACAGCCCTGCCCCAGGGATTCCAGAAATAACAGCAGGGCCCTCCACTAGAAGGCTGGAACATAGTAAGGCATTTCTGTATTAAGACATAAGCCCTTTCCAAATCAGCCCTCTCCTGTCTGTCAAAATACAAAGCAACGTTCAGAAGTCAAGACAGGGAGGGGCAGCTGGGTGAGAGTTTAAATTTCTGGAAAGTCCGAATCTCTTCCTTCTCCCATCTGTTTTGCACTCTCAAATCTTCCATTCTAGAGATTTGTCCAGATTTGCTCCAGTCTCCACTTAGAATTTTAAATTCTTTCTCAGCTGTGGTATTCCTTGGCTTTCAAGAATCCATTCGCGCTTGGACATGCTAGAATTAAAATTATAGCACTGTAAACCCAGATGGCAATTTTATCCCAAGATGGCACAAAGGTTCCCAGACCCATAGGACTGTCACCTGTCAGGGACTTAAAAGGCTTCTCCCCAAAGAGAAGTGATTGGTGGGGAATAGTTTAGGGAAAGGAAAATGTTAGAAATGATTGGTGATAGGGGAGAAAAAGGGTTTAGGAGGATGGGGGCGGTATCTGGACCAATCTTTTGCACTTCAGATTCACCATGAGGAGAAAAACAAACTGTCTTCAAAGAGAACTTTGGCTTTTTAAGTGTAATCTCAAAAACAATGCCAGAAAATAAAAAGCATGTGTACATAAAATAATGCAGGATGGGGTATTTAAATGCATAATATGGAAAAACTGGATATTTAAAATTAGTCTGGGGGGTAGCGGGGGAGAGGATTCTGATGTTGTTCCAAATTGTTCTCTTCCCCCCAAATTCTTCTTAATGTCATTTTTCTTTTCGTTTTAAAAATCATGTATCATTATTATGCCCGAGAGACCTACTTAGATATTCTCAGATCTACCTTTTTACAAGGGAATTTTAGGTACCCGTCGGAAACTTGAATTTTTGGGGTAAAAGCATACTCCGGATTCTGTCTCCAGACACTAAGTCCTCTCCGATGGGGATGAGATTATTACTAATTTGCAGTCCTGGTCGCAACATCATTAAAAGGCTGGATTTAGTATACTAAGCTTCAAACCTTTGTCACAAATAGTGAGGTGGAGGAAAGACGCTTGTGCAAAAAGACAACCGATTATATCACCCTCCAGAGTCAAGCTTCAGTGTGGGCCAATGAAGTGCACCAGCTACATTAGTCAACAAGGTGCAACCCACCATCTGCTGCAATTACTGCAGAAAGGGCCTCTGCCATCGCGAACCTCAGTCTCGTGCCGCACCCACAAGCACTGGGGGTGGCGGGGAGGATGAGGGGAGTAGGTAACAGCATCACCATGGCAACAGTGACGTCCTTTTACCCTGGATCTAATTGGAGGAAACCCCGTGGCCGAAGCCGCAGCCTACCGGCCAACCGAACTTTGCCAATCCGACCCACCCTCCTAGCCTCCGCTTCCCCTCCTATCCCACCCCTCCCAAACTCCCCCTTCCGCGCGCTTAGTTCTCGTTGGCTAGAGGAGGGGGAGAAGGCGGGACTCTCGGGGGAAGACTGGTGCATCATTGGGTGTTAGGAGTGAGGGCTGTCGCGCCGCCGCCCTCCCTTCGGCTCCGGGGTAGGCTGAGACGGGAGGGTCCTTCGCTAAAGCTAAAAGCAGATCAAAGTGGTGGGACTCGAGTCGCGGCTGCGGAAACGGTGAAGGTGAGCCCTGGACTCGCTTCCCCCGCCCCTTATCAAGCCTTGCTGGGTTTAAGATCTGGGGTGGGAGGCACAGACATCCTCCACGGTTGGCTCTCGACGCTCCTCTCTCCTAGAGGTAGATACCTGCAGGGAAGATGCAGGGCTAACGGCCGCTTCCATTTTGTGCTGCCCGGGTTGGGCGGGGGAGGCGGGAGTGGACCTTCCTGCCCGCTTCCCGCGCGCCGGCGGCAGCAGGGTGACCGCGCGCGGGCGCCGCCTCCTCCTCCCTCACCTTCCGCTTTGGTCCGGGAGTCCTGGTCGTCCTCCCGACCCCGCCCCGTGGCCGCGCAGGGCGCCTCCCCTCGGCCTCTCCCTGGGTGCCTAGGCGGGTGAGCGTGGGCGGGGGGAGAGGGAAATTCAATTCCGCCGTGTCGGCCGCGGCCGAGAGCGCGCCCGAGACAAAAGGAGGGCGGCCCTCCGCCGTGGGGGCCGGCCTGCGGTGCTGGGCGGGGTGTGGGACTTATTGTCTGATAGTGCGCTCGCTCTCCTCCCCCCTCCTTTGTGTTCTCTCCTATCTCACCACCCTCGGCGCTCCTTCCCCGCCGCCCCTCCCCGCAGGCTTTCGAGGAGGGCTCTCTTCCTGATCTGGCCTGGTTCTTGCTGCCTTCGCCGCCTCTCCCGGTCGTCGCCTCTCCCCCGTCCCGGTCCCGGAGCACCACTGCCGCCGCAGAGCCCCACCTCCCCCAGCTCCGCACGCCGCCAGTCCACCATGGAGAAGACGGAGTTGATCCAGAAAGCGAAGCTGGCCGAGCAGGCTGAGCGCTACGACGACATGGCCACCTGCATGAAGGCCGTGACGGAGCAGGGGGCTGAGCTGTCCAACGAGGAGCGCAACCTGCTGTCGGTGGCCTACAAGAACGTGGTCGGGGGCCGCCGGTCCGCCTGGAGGGTCATCTCGAGCATCGAGCAGAAAACCGACACCTCCGACAAGAAGTTGCAGCTGATAAAGGACTATCGGGAGAAAGTGGAGTCTGAGCTGAGGTCCATCTGCACCACCGTCCTGGTGAGTCGGAAAATGGGCGGCGGGAGCTTCGGAATTGGGTGTCGGGAGCGACGAGGCCCTTTTGTGTCGTGCTTTTCATTGGGAATGGGAAAGAAATGGGGGCGAGGATTTGCCCAGTTGCCGTGGTAGGGGTTTTGACGTGGTTGTTAGCCTTAGTTTCTGTAATACAGCTAGTAATGGCAGAGACTTGACTTGATTCTTGGGAGTGACGCTTACCCCGTACTGGGCTTCTGCCGCACAGTTTTGAACTGAGTCGATTTGTACAAGACTGAAAATTAAAGTGATTTTTTTAGCTTGTACTGGGTAACTGCTTAGAGAACTCTCTAAATGCTTCATCAACTCATATGCTTCAGAATTGGAAGAAGGTGCCTTTTTGATAAGGACACTGGGCTGTAGCATCTCTTTCCAAATGTAGTAGTAATGGAAATTGACTTGGAAAAAGTATGCTTCTTTTTTTTTTTTTTTTTTAATTATTTTGTGTGTGTGTGTGTGTGTGTGCGTGTGTGTGTACCGTCAAATCAGATCTGACTGGTACAAGAGGAGATTGTCGGTCCTTTTCCCGGCAGAGCATCTGGTGGATTTGAACCGTGCACCTCTGGGATTGCAGTGCTCATTTTTCATTTAAGGATATCTTCTGGGATTTTCCAGTAAAAAATTGAGGATGCAGTTGGGGAATAAGAAAAAGGCAGAGCCATAGCAACAAAACTGCCCTGGTACATTTTAGAACTAAATCTTTTTCAGCTACCTCATTGCTATACTTAAACCTAATATTTGAAATGAATGAATTTCTGGCATGAAGTAGAGGAGGGAAGCTTTCCAGCAAGGGTGGCTATTGGGTGGAGTAGGTGATTGCTGTGATTCACTCTTAGTAGTGATAGATGAAAATTTTAGCTTTGTCATTGTATGGACAAAATCTTTTTTTGTATGTATTTTGTGAATTTTTTTACTCAGTGTTATGTACCTTTGCGTTGAAACCGACTCATAGCTGACCCTCCATAGGGTTTTCAGAGGCATTTAATCGCTTGGGAGGAGATTGCCTGGCCTCCCGCAGAGCAGCTGGTGCATTCGAACTGCGAGCTTTCAGGATTGCAAGCTCAGCTTCTTACCGCTAGGCCACCAGAGCTCCCTTTTACTCAATTAAGTTTTAATATTTAAACACTAGCTTTATGTTCTGGAATGGGGTTCTTTTTCATTTTAATGTTTTTGATGATGCAGAATTCTTTCTACAAATAAAATAATACATTCATGACACGGTTTGCTTTTTTTTAAGTTGTCACTTTTCTATGAAACAATTTTTGATGAGTTTGTTTTCACATTTATATAAGGCAAATTGGTGCTTTTTCAAGAAATATAGGGAAATTGCCTCTTTCTGGCCCAAACTGCTTCTCTCATCAAACCTGGCAAGGGAGGTTAGGATGGGGGCAGGGGGAGACTTTTAAACTTTTAATCTGAACACAATTACGAAGATATCCATAACGGCTCTTTCTGGGTGTATATTGAAGAAGACAAGACTTTATTGTGATTATTTGATTTTCAAGGATGAGACTTGTGTTTATTTGTATTCCTAGCTTCCAGTACCCTCCTTGGCATACAGAAAGCCCTTGTAAACTTTGTGAACTAAATAAATTGGCTTGTATTTAAGAAGCTTCCAACTTGAAAGTTACGGTTGATTTGAGAAGCATTTGGTATTATTGGCTTTATCATGGGGGAAGGTCACGTAAGAGTTCTTTGTTAATGAGAAAGGTATGAGTACATATGTCATTGGGGTTCTCACAGCATATTTCAGTCTCTTTGAAAGCCAGGACCGTTTGATTTCGGTCTCAGAGAGCTCTTGAAATTAGGACAGTTTTACACCAATAGAATGTACAAGAGATTAGCTTAATTAATTAATTAGAGGTCATGGCATAAATAAAACGTTTATTAGCAAAATGATTTTGAAGATTAATTGTGATTTGATGGCTAATTTATAAAAATAGTTGTTCAGTTGACAACTGTTTGAGAGCTTACTCTGTGCAGACATTGAGCTGAGCCGTATGAAGAACTACTCTGAGAATGATAGATAAAACTAAGAACAACAATTTCATATTATCAGTAATATAAGAAATACATACACATAAAGAATACAGGTTAATTTTCACACAGTAATGATGATCAGAATGCATTTTAAATGCAAAAGAAATAGAACCTACAGGAAAGACTTCATAAAGAGACGTTTTTAAAGTTTAATATTGAGAAGAATCTAAAGGGGTCCGTATTGAGGGCAGAAGGAATATGCCTTTTATTTAGGGAAGAGGGAGGGAATTATTAATACTAATATTAATATTATTAATAGTAATTCTCTTCCTTGAGGAATAATGTTTCAGTGTGACTGCAGCAGAATATCTGTGGGAGAAAAACCTGAAAGGAAAATTGTTATGAGCTGACAAGCTGATGAGGACTCCTAGCGACCCTATGAACAGGGGCTCTGAATTGGCACAGGATAGAATGGCGTTTAGGGCTCTTGTACATAGGGTCGCTATGAATCGCAAACGACTTGATGGCACATAACAACAACAACAACCACCCTGTTACCATAGTCATTGGTCAGTCTATCTCATCCAAGGTCTTTCTCTTCTGCACTGACCCTCTAACCTTCTAAGCATGATGTCCCTTCTCCAAGGACTGGTCCCTTCTGATAGCATGCTAAAATATGTGAGGTGGAGCTTGATTAATCCTTGCCTACTAAGAACAAACTGATTTCACCCTCTCCTGGACACAGACCTATTTGTTCTTTTGGTGATCCATGGTATGTTCCGTAATCTTCTCCAGCACCATAAATCAAAGGCATCAGATCCTCTTCCGTCATCTTTAATCCTTGTGCAGCTCACAGATGTACAGCAAGCAGTTGCGACTCCTGAATCAGGTGTACCTTAGTCTCTAGACTGACATTTTTGCTCATTAGCACTCTGAAGAGAGATTTGGCAGCAGAATTTCCCAGTTTCTTGGCTGCTGGTGTCAAGAATGTTGATTATTGATCCAAGCAAGATGAAATCATTAACAGTCTGAATCCTTTCTATCAGTGACAGAAAAAGATTGGAATTTTAAGGCATTTCTAAACATGGTATGGAGGAAACAGGTGAAATTTATAACAAAATTACAGTAGTAAAGAGTATTGAGTAAGGGTGAAAGAATACAAAGGAAAGATCCAGAATAGCACTGGTTCTCAGTGCTATGCAAGGCTATGCAATAGTAAGTAATTGATAGAACCAAGTATTTATGAGTATACCATTTAAACCTTTCTCACAGCACCATGCTGTCTCTCCCTTTTATTGATTACAGTAGACTTCTTGTAGCGTAGTACACAAAGCATTTTAAGGAACTGACTTTCCTCATTGACTAATGCTCACTGTTGCCTTAATGCTGTTGTCAGTTTGAAAGCAGTTCCTCTTTAAAGCAAATCTTTTTTACTTGTGTACCGCCCAGTTCAAACTGACTCTCTAGCAGGTTGTCAGAGGCAGTACATCACTTAAGAGATTACTTATCTCTCTTCCAGAGTAGTTGGTAGATTGAAACAGTACCTTTGGGATGGCAGCACAGTTCCTTACCGCTAACCCACAAGAGCTCCCTTTCTTTTTTTCTTTTTTTTTCTTTAGTGAAGCTAAACTATTGTTTGGTTTCAGAGTGTATTTTTGGCTTAAGGTTTAAAGATTTTATCTCTAGGTAATAGTCAGGGTTTCTTCCACCTTCTAATTATGCCAGAGAGTCTAGAGTCCTTGAAAATTTGATACTTTTGTGTGTTTTCCCCTCTTGATCTGGATTGTGCTATGAAATTTTTCATCAAAGAGTCCAGTAATGGTAGCTAATCGCATCATGGCACAAGAGGTAGTTGTTCATGGAGGCAGTTAGTAACAGTCTTTATCCTTGTCCCTGACTCTTCTCTTGCTCCAAATGAATAGAGACCCCTTGTTGATATGACACAAGTTGGCGTTGGTTGGCTGCTTGCAGGCTTATAAGACGTTGGATGCTAGGCAATGAACTAGTGGTAGACAGAAATATTAAAGCATCTTATTTGTTTAGGTAACTGAAATGTCACATGAAACCATAACTCTAAACCAAGGAAACAAATCCTATAAAATTTTGTTGTACAAAACAACCTGAGTAACTGCACTTTTTTTTTTTTTCTTTAACTAGGGTTTTTGGGGTTTTTTTGGTTTTGGGGGGTTTTTTTGTACATGTACCATCAAATCAGATCTGACTGCTACAGGAGGAAATTGTCCCTCCTCCGGCAGAACATCTGGTGGATTTGAAAAACTAGTTTTGACTTTTTACATGTATTCGCATTAGTGATACTGTTTATATCATCGAGTCAGAACTTAATGGTAGCTGAACGGCAGTAAATCACCTGGGAGATGTCCATCTTTTCCCAAGGAGCAGTTGGTGGATTTGAACTACAGGCCTTTGGGTTGAGAGTGAAACTCCTTACCGCTAGCCATATTGGCAGTAGCAATTAGAATAATTGACTGCACAAGTCTACCCTTAATCTATGCGATTTTCACATCCACATTAATCCCCCTTTTACTCCTCCCTAATGACTGCTAATCTTGGTCTCTAAATTTATCTTTTTATATAAGAAAGGTCATACAGTATTTTTTTTTTTGTCATTATTTCACAAAGAATGATGTCTTCAAACCCCATCCATGTATTAAGGTTTTATCCACTTCTACTAAGTATATTTTATTGTATGTACCACATTTTCTTTCTCATCTGTTGATGAGTATTTATGTTTTTCATCTTTTGGCCACTGTGACTAGTGCTGCACTGACCTTTGATGTCTGAGTCTCTTGTTGAGTCTGGTTTCAAGTCTTTGGGGAAGACTTCGAAGGAATGGGATTGCTAGGCGTATAGTTGGTCAGATTTTTTGCTCTGCTATTTTCTAGTCCTGCCCCAGTAGAAAAGGGTTTAATTTTTCCTACATCCTTGTCAGCATTTGCTATTTTCTAGTTTTTGTTGTTTTTTTTATC